CCTGTGCCCCCATCACTCTGCTCCCCGTGAGCAGTACTGGTCCTCTGCTCTGGCCAATAGCGGCCAGGCTGAATCAATACTAATTACCTGACAGCTGTTGGTGGAGATTTAGAAGGGCTTGCCCATCCAGAGAATATGTGCATCACCTACTTCACACTTCTCTGAGAACTGAACACCCAACAAGCCTTCAGTGTTCAGTGTATTCATTTAATTATAGCTTTTTATTTTAAGTAGACACAAACACATAATTGTGTTAGTGGTCAGTTAAGCCACCATAACTGTTGTTGCCTTCATTTCAAATTGTTTATAGACAGTATTGGCATTACGATTGTGTATCCATTTACTTTTATGTTTATATAATGCGTATGTACATTTATATTTAATTTTTGTTCAGTAACATTTTACAACAAAGTTCAAATTGTTAACATTACTTAATGCGTTTGATATCATATCAGCATAGCGATGTTTTTAGTAATCTAGGTTAATGTTAATTTATAAATATTGTTAATTGTTCATTCATGTTCATTCATAATAAATGAACTTTTTTTCTAAATATTATATACAACTTGAAATATTTAAAATGTATCAGTATATATAGAATTGAATTTGGATTAATAAATGCTGTAAATGTATTGTTCATTGTTACTGTGCGTAATGTCAACAAATTTAACCTTAACTGTCGCTATTTATTTATTAAGGTGGTGATTTTAACCAAAGCAAACAAATGAGGAAAAATACAAACACAGCTGATTAATCATGAGAAGTCAACAATATTCACAGTACTGCAATATTAAAATATAAAAGGTAGATCAGAATGGTACAAAGCAGCTATTTTTACAGTATGTCATACTTTGATAATCTTAAAACTAAGGTGAATAGATTTCTGGGTTATTCACTCCCTTTATGATTTCTTTTTTCAGTCTGAGCGGCCTTTCTCCATTTATGGGTGACAACGATACAGAAACAATGAACAATATTCTGCACGCCAAGTGGGACTTTGATGCAGAGGCATTTGAGAATGTGTCAGAAGAAGCCAAAGACTTCATTTCCAGCCTTCTTGTGCCCACCAAATGGTATTCATCCATCCATCATTATTCCACTAATGCAAAACCTTACAGTACAGAACATACCTTAAGTCACGCTTTCTATTGCACATAGGTTATTTCTCCTACTTTTCTAGCCTGCTCTCTTGTGGCATTAAGAGCCTCACTTTTCTCTTCCATCTCTCAATCCTTGCCCCACTTTGACCTGCTCAGGTTCCCTTAATGCATCCTGACATCAAAACTGAAACCTCTCAAAATGCAGAGCTGTACACCAAAAATGGGCACAAATAACATATAATTGGCTGCTGACATAACATGGCCTGGTGCATTTTAGAGCATTTGGAGCTCACTTTCATGTTGCTCTGTCTTAGCTAACCTCTCCCACACAAGGGCTGTGTTGCTCAGCTGGCATGAGATAATAGCAGGCTGGCACAGCAGGTGGCCATGAGAGGGCACATTGTCTTTTGCCCACCATCTTACCACGGTCTATGCAGTAAAAGTGATAGTTAATGATCCAGTGCACATTGACAAGGTGCATTTAGATGCAGTGGGACACCCACCCTGGCCTTCCTCCCTTCTCTTTATCTGTGGTGACCTCATCACAGCCCTCGAAACATGCCGTGTGATTCATATCACCCTTGCTTTCAGCCAATGAATACTGATGATAATGATGATAATATAGTACAATCAGCTGGATTATGTCTTTCTTACTGGTAAAAATGCACTCATGCTGTGCACAAATTTTACAAAGTGTTTCAGGATGATCGGACATTTCTTTCAATCATTTTCAGGACACCATTTGTTCCCCTTGCTCAAATAAAATTGGCTGTCTTTTGGCTCTGTTGGCCAAATGTTAGCACAACTTAGCCAAACTTACCACAGAGCCTGTCCCAGTACATACACTTTTGAGCGAGTACATGCCACAGGAAGTGAGTAAAACTGTCTCAGGTCTGAAAAATGCCAAAGCCCAGTGTCTTATTGTTAATATCACTTTAAACAGGTATTTGAGGCTGAGCATATCCAAGTACTCATCATGTTCAGAAACTCACATGCTCTGAAAACTGTCCAGTGTGTAAGTATATTAATTAGATCTTATATTTAATTTGGAAGTAAAAAGTGTTGCACTTTTGTTATTTTTGTGGAACATTTGCAACTGCTTTTTTCGCTTAATTAGAAGAACTAAAATTAATAAATTGTGTTGCCTGTTAGGGACTGAACAGACATTCAGAAGTTTAATTTAGAGTGTAAAATATTGAAAATCAAATTGTCTTTAAAAACTTTACTTGATTTTTTTAAATAAAAGTGTGTCCCATTAGGTAAAAGCTCTACACTTGAGGGAGCCTACTTGAACACTTCGGCCAAACACCGGAGATGCGTCTGTAAAAAGACAAGTGGTCAAGTACAAATACCACAAGTGTGGGTATTGGGACAGGCACAGTTAGCCAAATCTTGGTTGTGTCTCATTTTGAAGACTGCACCCTCCTGAGGCGGCATTTTTCGGTCACATACAGCATTGAGGATGTCTCAATTAAGAAAAGTAACCATTACACTGCAAATAAATAAATCTCAGTAATTTACATCTCATAAGGAGTAATACATTTTAGAATGATAATTTTTCTCGACGACATGCAGTCGACAATGCCACCTCTGGAGGGTGCAGTCTTTGAAATGAGACAGTTTGAATGAATCATGTTAAAGATGTTTTAAACTAAACACTAAATATAAAATACATATAATATGATATATAAATCTGTAATAAAGTGACCGTAGGCCTACTAATATGTGACCCTGGACCACAAAACCAGTCCAGTCTTAAGTCGCTTGGGTATATTTTTAGCAATAGCCAAAAATACATTGTATGGGTCAAAATTATTGATACCATAAATATATTAAAACTTAATTTTTGATTAGTAATATGCATCGCTAAGGACTTAATTTGGACAACTTTAAAGGCAATTTTCTCAATATTTTGATTTTTTTGCACCCTCAGATTCCAG